TGCATATCCTTTAGAGACGTAAAATAAAATAAATTAATGAATAGTAGTCATTTTTCTAGGGAAAAAAACGGTGCCATTAATTGATTAAAATGTCTGAAAGAGTTTAAGTTACCTACCACTACCTCTTTTTCTTTTTTTCTCTTAAATCTGGCTATTGTAGGAGTCTCGTTGTTTAAAAAGAGGAAAATTTGTATAGATCGTAAGTAATTTTAAGTTCGCCTTTATTTCTACTACTAACATATCAATGCAATAATATTTTAAACATTAATATTAAATACCGTGAACATGAAAATTATATTTACAAATCAGACTGCTTTTGAATTATTTGAAAAAATAAAAAAATTTATGAAACTTGGGACACAATGCAAGATGTTAAAAAAAAAAAAAAGAATAATCAAAATTCAATATTATGTGAGATTCTAAGAAAAAAAATTCATTTTTAGAATTATCTATGTTAAAAGAAATTGATGAATACAAATTAGATAATTAGCTTATTTATTAATAAATTAACAGGCATTTTGAAGGGATTTTGAATAGCCACTTTCAAGCCGGGGGTGAAAATACAAAAACATTCCCAAAGATAAAATGTCTTTTTCGTTTTTTCAAAATAAATAAATAAATATTTCTATAATATTTGCATCATTTTAAAGTATATTTATTATAAAGTATTTGCATTTAAAGTATATTTAGTTTTTTGCGAGGTGAGAAAGGTTCTCTGAAGGATGTGGTGGGGAGCAAGCTTGACATGGGCACACAAAAGCTATCACAACGTTTATAAATTCATAAAGCTCAGAGTAACGATAATAAAGAAATATAGGTAATCTTTTAACCTTTAAAACGATGTAATTAAAGGGACTGTCTTTTTTAAAATGGCTACATTACCAACTAAATGTTTATTACGTGTTTCTAGCAAAAAAATTTTAAAAAAGGGAAAAACTTACATTTTGAAATAGTTTATGTCAAACAAATAATTCTTATAAGCTTATAATATATTCTTAGAACAGTTAAAGAAATATTATAGCCACTTATAGTAAAAATATTGCCTTGTTTTTCTAGTATTAAAATGATTTACAAAAAAAACCCCGAATTTTCATTTTATAGTTCATGTGTTGTATTACGGGACATTTTCCTTTAAATTTTCAACTTATTTTATTTTAGGTTTTAAATGTTAACATTTAATTAAAGGTTTTAAAAATCCTAATGGATTAAAAAAATATATTATTAATAATAGAGTGATTAAAATAGTTTCAGAATTCACCGTTCTAGAATTTTGTTTAATATTTTGCTCCAGAAATTTTACTCAATATTTTGCCCTTTTATTTTCGCCTTACATCAAAAATAAAAATATTTGTGTAACTTAAAACTAAAATTTAAAAACTATATTAGATTTTTTAGTATATTTTTTTAATTACATACATATAATTGTGAATTTTTCATATTAACGAAAAACAAGAAAATTAGTGTACCCACTATAGTTCAATAGTACTTATTAATATGCAAACAATTGAAGTTAAAATCTTAAAGCTTTGATTTTTTTTATTTATTTTTTTATCAAAATTGAATTTTCCAGTAGGCGTGCGTACGGGAACGATGCAATAGCAATGAATTTAGTTTTGTATTTTTAAACCAGATAGACTACTTATTAAATAAAACTGTTTAAATCAATTGTATGGTTAATTGTAGACGAGTTCCCGTGCCTTTTTAGACTGGTTAAAAAATTACAGTGGTATGAAATTGAACATACGTATACGCAAATCCATTATAGAACGCGGGTGATAAAATTGTAATTATTAACCTTAACTTTATTATAATATGGTTTCAATAATTATACTTTTTAAAAATTAATTTTGACAATAGTGTGTATAGTGGTACGCTTGCTTAAAGATTAAGCAGTGAAAAAAGTTTAGATGCCAAAAGTTTCAAAAACAATTTTGAACTCAAACAGTAATTAATACAACAAATTAACAATGATTGATTTTTTTTCTCTTCACTTAGAAGTCAAACATCAACTACATATAGTCTTTTTCAAATCTATAAGAAAAAAATAATAATTTATTTCGGTAAATTAGAAAAACTATAAAATTAAGTTTTAAGTAAAATGAGCTTAAAATTAAGCAAAGAAAAATTTAACTTCAGGAAAGAATTTACGTAAATGTAGGCAACTTACAAAAAAAAATTTTTTTTTAATAATCACTGCGTTGATTTGATAATGTGGAATAATAAAACCAAGTAATTCGTGATGCTAATTTTCAAATAGGTATACCTTATCTTTACCAATGGCAAATTCTTAGGATTTATCATTTGAATTCTCTTCTTTCTATTAAAATCATTTTAAAGAAACCTGAAGGACAAAAGATGTAAGCAATGATAACTATATAAAGTTAGTACAATAATTTACCACGTTTATAATATTTAGTTTACGGACTTATTTTAGCGATTTTAGTCCAAATAAAAAAAATATTAAAAAATAACTGATCAAAATTTAATTTTTCAAAAAAAAGGAAATTTCTCACATAATTGTCAATATTTTAATAATAATTTTAATAAACTATTACCCTATTTGCACAAAATATTATTTTAATGTTATTACAATGAAAAAATATGTTCTATTCCATGATTACGTAACCAATAGTTCTAAATTAGGAAGAGAAAAACACAAAAAAATTTGTTTCACGAAAATTAAAATAATATTCTCTTACATCAAACCGAAAACATAATATTTCTATGAATTTATATTAGATTATAAAACTTAATCAAGCTAATTTAAATAAATTTGTTAAAAACATAAAAGAGAAGACTAACAATTAGCTTTATTTAAAACAGTTTCCATAGCATAAAACAATGGTTATTTCTTAATTTTTACACAACCCCGATAGAATTAACAAAAATAATTTTGTTAAATGTGTATTGTGTATTGAAGCTTAACAAAAGACATTTTTATTTATCTAATATTTTTCTTAAATTTCAATCATGTCAATCACTAAATATTGCGTTATTTGCAGTTTTTCAGCTTGAAAACCTCTCGCTGTTTACCTTTTTTTACAACAAATATAAATTTCGATCAATGATAAATGTTTCATGCAATTATATTTTTTATTAAATGCTTGCTCTACTCAATTATATGCTCTATTTAATTACTATGCAATTAATTATTATGATTCAGATTTTTTTTAAAAAATTACGCAAAATAATATTTTTCCATCACAATAAACTATATAATCTTATGAAATATAATTGTGACTTCCAATGAACTATTCAAAGCATTTGAATGGACAAACCTAACAATTTCTTTAAAACCTTGTCTAATATATAATACAACCGTTGTTTATTTCTGAATTTTAACAATACACTAATACGCTTAATTAAAATAATTCATTTTGTTAAATACACATTGCAATTTAGCTAAACAGTTTTAATTTTAATCATACTACTACCATTAACCATTATGTAAATTTCGAGCTGCTTGCATTTTATTTCAGAAAAACATTTCCATTTGATTATCTCATATACAATAGCATTCTATTTAAAAGCAATTCCCAGACATATCATCTCTTTTGTTCGATTCTTGCCTAGATTCTTTATTAAGTTTCATCAGGGGGATTCCGTTACCAAAGTGCGAAAATTAATCTGCGAGATTGGGTTCCTCATTGGGTCCGTTTTGGAACAAAATCTAGGCAATGCAGATGAAGTTGGTAAAAATCATTGGAGTCCGGAAACTCGCATGAGATGGTCGTCACACGCTATAGGCTCATTAAGACTGACAATTGCATAGGCCACCTAAACTGTGCCCTAGTTAGATAAAGTAACAAAAAATAATAATAAAGTTCCACCCTCCTATCCGAAAGAACTTCCACGAAACCTGAGGTAATTACAATTCCGCTAACGTTGAGGTCTGGGGGCGGGGGTGCCTTTTCGTTGGTAAGGAAGTGGTCATCGATCGCCAGAACAAAATGAGCTTTTTAAGTAGATGCGGTTGGCGACCCGTGTAAGATACTAACGTTGCCACATTTTACGACAATTCTGAAGACCATTTACTTCTGTATCAGTCAGAGATTTCATTCTTTGTATTGCTGTATAATTAAATACCAAACTTTTAAGCCTTTTCAAAAGCTCTTTGGACACAGGGAGGAGTGATTCGCCAAAATTTGATTCACAAGTAATCACGCGAAGAATATTTTTTCCCCCTGTCCTTTATTAAGAGATGACTCCAGGGACAGTTAAAGACTAAAAAAAAAGTTACGGGTCAAGAGAAAAAAAAAATTGGTTATTATTTTATAAAACCTTGAGTTCATTACTTATCATTTTGCAGCCACAGAATGTATTCAAAGAATAAAAAAAGAACCAAATAAAAAAAAATTTAGCCAAATAAAAAAAGAAAATTAATAACTTTTCATTTTATGCCAGCGTGATGAAAATTTTTTTTTCTTTTGTTTCAAATAACCAAAGTAATAGTTTTCTCTTCTCTCTAATTGTAATAGTTTCTTTTTTTATTAATAATTGTTGTTGTGCATAGACCCAATCGTGAGTTTACGACTACTAAAGTTTAACTCCGTAGCCTTGCAATGTTGAACCCGATCCAGACCACAAGAAAACTACTAGATCAAAGTATTTAGAGAAATGTGTCTTCGTGGCGGACTTTTTGATGGAACTAACCCGCATTTGCCTTACATGGTGAAGGAAACCACGAAAGCCTCTCATGGCGAGGTTGATGACAAAAGGATTCGAACCCGTGATCCGCATACCACTGAGAATATTTCATGTAAGCACAGTGATCGGTGTGAGCCGGGTGTAGAATTCGTATCAACTAGCCATCGCTGAGATTCGAACCCAGATCACTTCATTGAGATTCGAGCTCTCGATCTCTTGAGACACCACGGCTGAAAGTAATAGTTTAGACAAATTACGCTTAATTGCAAGCTTTTCTTTTTTCGTTAAAAAGGTGTTTAAAATATTAACTTTTCATAAAGCTCACATTTTTCTTGGATCGAAAAAAATATTACCCTTGTCTTCTGAAGCCCAAATGCGAGATTAAGTTTTCCTTTAGTTGACAATATTTGTTATACCTGGGGTTATTTTCAGACCCTAGAATTCAAAATTTAAAGTTTACATTTTTATTTCCCAATTTTTCGCTTAATTTATTTATTAAAGAAAATGAAAACATCAACCTTCTCTTCTATTTGAGTAATTAAAAAAGTTGATCCAAATTATAGCTTTGCTGATTAAGCATGTCGTTCAAAGATTGTTTTATTTTTTGAATTCATGAAAGCGAATATACATGTATGACATTCATGCTACCAAAACATTGCAAAGATTATAAGAACTTAGATAATTTATTTATTTCATATGTTATAGTAAATCAAAGTTAGAAATAAAGAAAATCAATCGACATTTTTTTAAAACGTCGTGATTTTATTGATCTGAAATCTAAAACAATTTTTTATTGTGTTCACGCCTATAAAAATCAATTTCTTTTATTATAGTTATAATTTGTTGTAAATCCAAGCAGCACGAATTTTGAATAAACATAGTTCGTTCATCAGGAGTTGGCACTTGGCTCCACCTCCTTTGACGAAGAGTTCATTTAAGGACATGGAGTAAGAGGAGAAACGTCACCGCGCTTGAAATTGAGACAACCCTTACTGCGCGCCAAAAGCAAACAGTTAATTTTTTTTCAGTCATTTACTTAGATTTATCATCTGCTATTACACCTTTCGTTACTCTAGCTAATTAAATGTATTGCAGCAAAATGTCTCAAAAAGGACAAACTATTAACTCAAAAGAGGGAAATATCATTAAATTTATGAAATATTTAATGTTAAAAAAAGGCAAGTAAAGATTGTGAAATAAATATTATTGCCATACGATCGCCAAATAGCAACCTCGTTCAGGATTGTTCACAACCTTCACCCAAAAATAGCGAAATAGTATCGTCGGATGCCACGTGATGAAGGCGGAGCCAAGTGCCAACTCCTGGTGAACGAACTATACATAACATTTGCCATTTACAAAAGAGTTTATAATTATCACTTTTATTATTTGTGTTTCTGAAATACTGTCAAGACATTTCAAATCGTTTCAAATGTCAGAGCGTAGAAAATATTGCGCTGTAAACTATTTATTCCAGAGAAAACTAATATATTTCAGAGCAAAAAATAAACAAACTAAATGATAAATCATGGGTTAATTTTGTTTCGCTTCGTTAAAAAGAAAAACAAACACTTTATAATTTTTTAGTCAATGGATTTCTCTTAAACCACTTTCTCTATGCTACTCATTCTTCAAATTCTTACCCAAAAGACGACATCTTACTTACACATAAATTTCAATATTTAAAAATAAATTTTTACATTGAATTTGAAATATAGTCCCTGACCATATTATTAGACGAGCTATAAGATTCTATGCAAAATTATTATCAGGCAATACTGTATTGTTTTTACTAGGATGAAACATTCGGTCTGCATTTGTTTACGCTTTTGTATTAGTTGATTAACATTGTAATGCGATACGTTAAAAATAAATACAAATAGGAAGTATATAAGTATATAAAAAATAAAAACCCATTATATGTAGGTTTAAACATAAAAGTACTGTTTATAAACTCGCACAAATCGTGTAATTATTTAAAAACTACAGTGCGTCTAATAATTTGATCTAATTATTATAATATACAATGCTTGATATAATAAATATTCCATATTTATATAATATATCGTTTAATTTACTCGATCGGCAATTTATATTATATATCGTCTAATTTAAGCAATTGATGCACTATCGTAAACAAGTGCAAACCGGTTTCAGCTGCGTAAAAACAAAGCTGTATAGTATCACCTGATAATTAAGATTTTACATAGAATCTTATAGTGCGTTTAATAATTTGATCAGCGACTGTGCAGCTAGAGCCCTATAAACTGCGCGAAAGATGCGACAAATTGCATAATTTATAACTCATCGCATAACCGCCTAATGTCCAAGTAATTTTTATTTTTAGGAAAAATATCTTTTACCAGATTAACTTTTATTTACGCGTGTTTTTCCCCAATCAACTTCATTCTTCGTTTTCAATTCTACGCGGCCAAACACGAGCCCAAGTTTTGTTAACCAGCTGTAAAATTCATGAAAGCTGCTCAAGTTTTTTGATCCAAAGCAAGTGGGCAACTTTAATATTGATGACGTGACGACAAATGAATTCAAAAAATTTCATGAGTGAGTAATCTTTCTACAAAACTCGTGTAGCCCTGCATGCAAAGAATGTGTTAAACAATATTCCAGGTTCTGAAATACAAAGATACTTTCAAGAAGATTTTCAGAATTTATAAAAGAAACAGGGCAAGTGCTGTTCAATTCAGTAGACTGTGAAAGATCCTGTTATAACTGACTTAACAAAGATAAAATTTGAAGGGAATGTTTATCTTCTATATTTGAAGGAATGTTGATGCTTCTGAATTAACTTCACATCACTTTAATAAACGTTGATAATTGCTGTGATGTTTCATTTAGATGTAAGAAAACTTACTTAAATCCTTAAATTTTAAATAACTGAAAAATTGTAATTAAAACAAAAGAAATTAAAAGTTTTTTTCTTTTCAAATTACGTTTGTTTCTCGTGTTTTAGTTGCTTTCTAAACCGTCTGTTCGCATAATTTAAAAAAATTATCACGTTACTTTAGTAGTAATTTCACATAATTAATAGAGCCCTAACTATTTTGACATTATCGAAAGCACAAATTGCTAGCGAAATTATCGGTTTTTCAAGAGAGCAGAGTTTGATTTGTGTATTTTATGTTACAATGTGAGTCAGTTTATTCTAACAAAAGAAAAACATTCCTTTTTATGTAATATAAATGACATTAGTGTAATGCCACTAATGGCATTACATACATATTACCTAACTTTTAAAATTTCTTTAATTACTCAAACTTACTTTTTTAATAATTATGAATCGAATTACATTTAAATTAAATCAATTAGTTAATTTTTATTAAAAGCGAACATAAAATATTTTATTCTTTTCTCATAGATCATTGTAACGGCTAACTTTTTATTTTAATACTAATGTAATTCTTAATCGGAAACAAAAATTTATTTATTACTCTTTATTATTAACTTCTTACAACAAATATGTTTCAGTCACATGGTTATAATAATTCTCACAGTTTTGTTGGCGATTCGAGATCGCCAAAATTTTTTCACACTTAATATTGATTATGGGGTGTTGGCTTTATTTTTGGCCATGTTATTTTTCGATAAATTCGAACAATTTTAAATAATTCAAATATTATGAGAAATTTAAATTCTCGCACTGTTTTAGGAAGAGCGTAACTATGTATAGTTATATAACACACTTGTGAACAGTTACTAAATAAAAATATTTGTTTTATATTTGTAAAATGAACTTACAAAACTTTATATAAAATACGAAAAACAATTTAGATGTACAGTTTTGAATATTATAGGCTCTTTCAACAAAGCCGAATTGATTTTCTCGTTATTTTCAAGAACTTGTTACGCAATATTCGATAACAAGGAATATTGTTGTTGTAGTTGATTTACGTCGCACTAGAGCTGTACAATGGGCTATTGGCGACGGTCTGGGAAACATCCCTGAGGATGATCCGAAGACATGCCATCACAATTTTGATCCTCTGCAGAGAGGATGGAACTCCCGCTTTGGTAGCCCGACGACCTGCACGCGAAATCGAGCACTTTACGGTAGAACAGTTTAACGATAACCAATACCGCATACCCTCGGTCTCTACGCAGACTGATCCAAGAGGTCACCCCCACACACACATTGACCGCAGCCAGTGATGCTTGACTTCGGTGATCTGCTGGGAATCGTGTTTTAACGTTCAATCCACTGCGGGACTGATTACAAAGAATAATCGTGATGTGCTTGTCATTAACATTAAATACCTTTATACTATTTTTTTATTCCTGTTATTTTTTCTTTAGATCGAAAAATATGTTTTTTTTATCAGCAATTTCACTAAGATTGACATGAACTATGCAATTAGACTAACTCACAATAACTTGTGCAGTAGTTACATTGATGTACAGTGCAGAAAAAAAAATGGAACATCCTGAATAAATTTTGATCTAATGATCGGATTTCAGCAGCTTCCCTAACCAATTTTTTTTGGAAAAAAAATGCAAAAAGTAAACGTATATTTTTATTTCATTAACAAATACAAGGAACTAAAACAAAACATTATACACAAGTTCTAAGTTGAAAGTTTAATTTTTTATCTGTAAAAAATATTTAATTCATAATCAGGTTGCAATCTCAAATTATCTCTGGCTAGTGAAAAGAGTTAAATATTAATCTTTGTATATGTTCACATTTTCATAAGTTGAAAAAAACATCTGCATTACTTTCATTTTCGCTCGTGAAAGCCTTTTTTTTACTCTTTTTTTTCTATGTAAATTCATCAACCATCGTATATACAATTGTACAAAACACGTCTGCAATTAATTAGTGCAGTGAATATTTTAAGTTACGAAATCAGACACAAGAGCGTATTTTGCTAAACATACTTCTTTTTCAATGGATTTGGACTCTTGATCCTCAAAATGTGGGGGGTGGGGTGAGGTTGGTCGCAATCTAGAAGCTGTGATTCCATAGTTCAGGTTAGAGAACGGTTTAATGTTTAGACCCTTTATGTTAATTTCACTTTTGTATATTTCCTCTTATTTTCGGAACTATTTAAGAGAATCGAAAAAATTTTTGTGCACACTTATACAATTTCTTTATACAAAGATAAAATTCCATAATATATAAAAAATGCAAAACTTAGAAAAGAAATATTAGTTCATAGATACATAGCTTGCCTACTAAAAAGTTTGACCGCTATTTTTACTGCTCTTTTTGTGATGTTATTTTTATGTAATATTCGTAATTATTGCTTGTAATGAAGGGACAGCACATACAGCATCACATAGATGTTATAGTCTTAGAAATAATTTGTTAAAATTGCTCTTTTTAGATGATTTTTTTTGTTTTGTTAAATAAGACCCCTTTACATTTTATATCGGAATTGGGTCCCAGTCGATTTGGTTGAAATTTTCATATGCCCCAA